CCATGGCCTTTCTCACATATAAGAAGCTACCCTGGGGTTAGGACCAATTCCATAGAAGGTTTTTGGTTTCTAAACTCCTTTGTGAACAGGCCTGGTGCTACCTCAAAGCTTACCATTCTAAAACCACTGCTGAGTTACTGTCAACACCTGGAGACACCTTGACTCGCTATCCACTTCCTTTATAAACCAGACCTTCCCACAGCTGACTGCGTGCTGAGAGCTGCCTGGCCATGCACCTCACTCCTGCCTGTTACACAGCTGGGTCCACATCCTAGACAACACAACAGCAAAACCCCAGAAGAGCTCTACCAAGAAGACTGGGTTTGTCATTGGTCACTGGAAATTCAAAGATTTTCAGTCTACAAAGTCATGCCTAGCTAGACTCTCCTTAAAGATCCTGGAGGTCCAGGCACATCCTGTGGGCACTTTGTCCTAGCCTGACAGCACTGCATAAGACAGGTTTGCTACATACTGCTGAGAGCAGAGACCCACAGAAAAGCACCACCAGCTATTCAGAGAACATCTCAGGGATACTGGTGCATGAAAAACTGGACATGAGTCAGCAACGTGCACTTGCAGCCCAGAAAGCCAAGTGTATTCTGGGTTGCATCAAAAGAAACATGGTCAAGGGAAGTAATTCTCCCCCTCTAGACCACTCTCATGAGACCTCACCTGTAGTACTGTGTTCAGCTTTGGGGTCCCCAGTACAAGAAAGACATGTACCTGCTGGAGCAGGTTCAGAGGATGGTCACAAAGATGAACCAAGAGTTGGAACACCTCTTCTATGGAGAAAGGCTGAGAGAGTTGGGGTGTTCAGCCTGGAAATGAGAAAGCTTCAAGGATATCTTCTTGTAGCCCTTCAATACTGTAAGTGGGGCTTAGAAGAGACAGGGAAAGACATTTTATCAGTGCCTATAGTGACAGGACAAGAAGCAATGGTTTTAAACTGAAAGAAGGTAGATTTTGAATAAATATAAGGAAGAAATATTTTACGATGAGGGTGGTGAGGCACTGGAACAGATTTCCCAGAGAAGTTACAGATGGCCTACTAGTGGGAGTGTTCAAGGTCATATTAGATAGGGCTTTGAGCAAC